AAGAATTGTTCCATTAATCATCATCTGTGATTATAACATTCCATATTTAATTCCATATTTAACACAAAAGTGCCTGAAATTTTGAAATTTTATATTCTGTATAAAATCTAATTTATTAGAAATCTAATTCATTATTTTTTGAACTAATTTTAAAATGTAAAATATAATTTACTAATTAAACTATATGCAGATAATATATGTCATTTTTAGATATTATCTCAGGAAATATAATTTATAGTAAATATAAAGTGTTTTATATATATATTATACATATATTTTTATACAACAAATGTAATCTATATATAGATAATTCCTTAAAAATTTTTTCAACGATTTAAAAATTACAACTTATATGTAGACTATAACTTTATTTACTTTTAAATGACGATTTAAATGACGTCAATCACAAAAAATATTCTATATTGTGAATAAAATAATATAATCATGTGATATTTTGCGCTGAAATTATTTAAATATACATTACAATAAATAAATAAGAGAAAGTTTAATTATTCAGTCTATAATTTATATAATCTATATTTTAAATATTCAGCTATTAAATGAAATAATTCTATGATAGAAAAGCACCATATGAGTGCTTCATAAATTTTTGCATTATGAATTTATATACAACTGATTTCACTATTCATCTTTCTCTTTCTGTCTCATATAAAGAGATTACCTACATGTAACACACAGGTCAAACACGCATTACTGCCACATTTAATAATGAATAAAACATATTTAATGTACAAAATTAGCAAATTTTAAAAAATGCAGTTTAAGTTAAATTAATACATTATACATATTAAGATTTATACGTTTGTAAATACCATTGTAGACTGTATCATGATAAATATTATCACTATACAATGACAAGTCACAGTAAAATAGAGTACATATAAAAATTATATAGAATATAGGAAGTTTAAATTGGTATACAATTCGCAGTTCGTTATATTATTAAAAATTAATTTACAGAAACTTATATGAACCATATTTTGAATAAATTTATCCTAGTTTTTCATAATGATTATATATATTCACTTACAACTATAATAGTAATAATAACATATTGCTATAAGCAATATACATTAAACAAATTAAATACACACAAACAAATGTAAAAAAATTACACATTATGTCATAAACTATTTTTGAAAAATCACTAGTCTCTGTGTTAAATGTTCGTTAGATTAGGACCATTCATTGTTCAATGTATACAAACCAAATATGAATTCAGTTTTCAATGCATCGATATGGCAATGTTTTTTTTGAACACTTCACAATAGTATATAATTTATAAAAACGTCAAAATTTGATCCAGGTCTATGAGTTGACGAAAATACGATTTTAATATATATATATATTATATTACACTTATTAAAAATTTAAATCTCACACGCTTCAGGATCTAATAATTCGTCCCAATTAATACTTCTTTGAAATACTTCTTGTTGTAACCATAATTCATAATGTTGTTTAAATTCATCGCTTAATTCCACATTTACTCCGAGTACCGATGTAACAGAATTATCAACAGGTTCCATATCTTTATCTTTAGGGACATTAGTGTATCGTAGATTATTAAATCGGTCGACACAAGAACGTAATACGCATTCATCTACTTGAAAATCCCAAGGTCGTGCTTCTAAATCTGAATGAAAACAAATTACTTATAACTTGTTTATATCAAATACAAATTTTATATTATATAAGAGATATTAATATATCTTATGAATGATATTTTTTATTTTTTTTATTTTTACCATTTCCATAAGCCCAATCATCATTCAGACGATGTCGAACTTTTGCATAAATTGCACTGATTGTTTTCATATTAGTTTTTCGCCATTGTCGTCCTAAATACCTGGTTTGCATTTTTAATAATTTTAAGACATATAATTGCATCATTGCATGTCTGACTTTTAATGTACGTTTTAATATGGGTGCCGATTTAAAAACGATTAACATCTATAAACATAAATAAAAAGTTAAAGTATTCCTAGCAAATAAACAAAATTAATAATAAAAATAATACAAACCATAATTCTACTATGTTTCCATTTTGTCAATTTATTAAGAATACGTAATAAATTAATGCAAGAAAAAACATTTCTCCATGAACATGGTGAATTGTCTCCAGTTTCAAGATTATCAAGAGATACATCTGGTTGTTCTCCAATAACACACATGGGAAAATCCAAGATAGGAATACTGTAAAAGAAAGTATATTTATAACATATATATATTTTCATTAATTATTTTTTTATTTTTATTTTTTTTTCGAGAATAAAACTTACACGTTTTTAACTTTAATATAAGCTAGAATATTCTGATTTAAAAATTTTAAAACGAGTGGTATGCAATTAGCAAATACTAAATGTTGTGACATAAATTCAAACTGATATATGTGATTTAATTTAAAATGTTTCAATAAAAGAAGTAGTATAGCAGATACGGCTTTAACAATAATTTCTTTATGTCTGTTTATATCAATGGCGAGTTTCATTGATTGAAAAACGGTCATACTGAAAAAAAGATAAAAATATATTACTTTATTATATTATACAATATACAATATATTATATAATATATAATAAAAAATTTTAATATTATTCCTGTGAACGTTATTATTATGTAAATTCATAAATTTATGTTATTTATAAAACTTACGGCATTTGTCCTGGTAAAACATCAGCCATAATATTAGTACTATCTGTTTTGGCTTTACTAGTAGGTGCAGCTGCTAATAAAATCTTTAGTAATGCAATCATATATTGTGGAACAAATGGTAATATAGCATGATATACAATTTCTGTTGGTGTTTGGCGAATTGGAAACCTTGGAGTACTAATAGGATTTCTAAGCATTTGTTCCTCTTTTTGAATTTGGATTTCTGCTAAAGATATATACATATGCTGTAAATATAAAAACAGATATTTTATTGATTCAAATTTTTTAAGTACTAAACATATGAAAGTTTTAGACTTACTCTTTTAAGTGTATTAACACCTTCAAGTATTGGTTGTGGTAAACCTGCCAAACTTTGTCTGTCTCCTTCTAAATTGTAACCAACAAATTTTAATCTTGATACTTCCAGAAAAGTATCCACATCCTTTTGTCTCACCTTTGGTGTCCATGGTAAACCTTTGAAAAGTATGTTATTTTGAAATAATATTTTATATTTTTAAATAATAATTATTTTTTAAAATATAATAAAAATATTACTTTTTCCTTTAGTAAGTTGTGGAGTATCAGGTCTTACTTGAGGTTGATTATTTTCATTTTGACAATAAGTTCGTAACTGAGTTAAAACAGTTTGATTCATAAATACATTAGCTTCTCCTTCACCTTCATTATTTGCAGTATCATTTCCCATTTCTGCACCTTCATATTCCATTTCCAAGCCTGGTTCATCTAATGAACTTTGTTTCATTAAAAACTGAAAATAAGAAATATTAAATAATTGTAAATTGTAAATAAAATTTTTAAGATTTATATAAAAATATACATACTCGTCGATAAGATCTATGATTTTTTTTCTGATTTTGTGTTTCAATTAAATCTGCTGCACTGACAGGAGGAGAACTAGCTCTCATAGTCTTAGCAACTTCTAAAGTATCTTCTTGTTGTGTATCAAGACCAGCTTCTTCACGATATTGTTTTTTTAATTCTCTCAATGTATCAATTCCACCCAAAGATACCAAAATTAACTTCCACAATAGTAAAAGAACTTTTTTCATTGGAAAATGTGGAGCTGCTCCACTACAAAAATATGTTACCATACCAAGAAGTTTAACTATAAGCAATTCTTCACCATAAGGATTTATTAAATCTTCTTTAAAAGATTCAACATTATTTTTATAAATACTGTGTTTCAAATTTTTCATTTCTTCTCTCATCACTTCTGTTATAATATATAAAACTGACAAAATTACTCTTAAATCAGTGGAATCGTCAAGACTAACAGATATTTTTCTCATTGCAGAAGCAGCTCTCCTGCTATTACTAAAAATTTAAAAATTTAAATTATAAAAAGTTATTAATATATCAAACTTCTTTTTATAAAAAGGAATAAACATACGTAATTTCAATATTAAGAAGTTCAACAAATGTTGGAAAAATTCCAGCCTCATATAATAACATAACATTTTTTCTGGTCCATTCTCGTTGTTCTTCATCAGATTGAACTTCAGCCCAACAACCTTGAGCTAAATACAAGATACATCTTGCTGCTTTCATCCTTAATTGTTTGTTAGAAACTTCTAATTGATCTAATAATTTGTAAATTACAGATTTTTGTTGAGCTTCTGATAAATTTTGCCACCATGGTCTTAATTTATATAATTCCATTTGTTCTTCAAATGCCTAAGAATAAATATATTTCTATGTTTGTATTAATTTTTTGTAAAATAACAATAGAAATGCCTATACTCACTGTAAGGTTAACGTGTAATTCAGATTGTTCCGAATAACTGTATAATTCTGCAATTTCATTGGCATGCTTGTCTGCATCATCATAAACAAAATCCAAATCCGTAGATTTAGATGTTTCCTAAACATAAAAACAAAAAAATATATATATACAAATGTTACTATTTTTATATTAGTTATTTCTTGATTTTAACAAAATATCAATTATAATATGTATGTACCATTTTATGAATATTTATTTCAACGATTATTATTCAGAAAAGGATATGAGATGTTATTCACGTATCGTATGATTTGATAAACAGATTTTGACAATCCAGGCATTAATCAGTAGAATACGCTTCTGTCAAAAAGGTTAGAAACGACTTGATCCACGCCGATTACCGTTATTTATTTTTGTCAAGATTTTTGCACTTAGTTGACAAAGCATTTACTCACTTCAGTACTCATAATTCGTTGCTGTAGAACTATTCGGGGAAGATCACGCTTCCCATTTCCATTTGCATCCATCGCTACGTCACGCATTTTCTAATAGTTATTGAAGATGCAGTATGTAATGCATCTCTGACTTAATTTATGAATCGATACTTTTTTTCGACTACTCGAATCATCTACAAATGTTATTCTATCGATCGATGAGTTTTCTTATCGATTTAAAAAAAAAATCGATGTGCTATAATGTGTTCGATAATTTTCAATAGTCTTCGGTATATTCAAAATTTTATTAATAAGTACTTAAAATTGTAGCGATATTTCTATACTTTATAAATGTATTAGATGATTGTTGGCAACATTGAATATGAGATGATTGGTTCGCAGAATCTTTTTAGAGATTTTCACAAGAATTTCTATAAATATTGGTATGTCACAGCTTCCATTTTGAAAAGTGAAGCTACTCGAAAAGCACGTTAAACTGCTCTTCACATTACAGAAACGCGTCTGCTTATGCGTCCTTTTTGGTGATTTTATATTTTGAATAGAAAATATTATAAAGACTATAATAAATAATTATATTTAAAAAAATGCAAGGAACAATCATAGAAAATTTAAGTGGTAGAAAGCTTTCAGTACTCGTAATATTACTCGTTATCGCACAAATAATTTGTTTTTTAATAGGCGGGCTTATTGGTAAGTTAAGAAATGTCAATCATTTCAAAATTATTATAATATTGACTATAGTTAAATGTTATAATTTTTATTTTAAATGTTTTGTGAAATATAAAAGTTTTTGTAAATAAATAGCTATATGTTTACATTTTAAATATTATGAAAAATTTTAAATACTTATTAACTATTTATAATAAAAATTATTGAATTAATGGATTTATTATTTTTATTTTTAAAATTTGTTATTGCAATTATTGTGAATTATTACTTTTTTATTGGAATTTTAATAAAAATATATATAACAAGTAATAATACAATGATCTACATATATATTATGTTTTAGCTCCAACTCCAGCTAGTAGCCAAAATATACTTGGTACACCTTGCAAAGATATTCGTATAAATGGATCTGAACCAGGAGGAAGAAAATGGTTTTATTCAAGAGGAAAAGGATCTTGTATTCCTGTTGATATGAATCGATTTAGTTTTGATAATCATCATCAAGCATATCAAGTTGTATATACATTTCAGGTAATTCTATAAAATTGTATTATATTAAAAACTATGCATTATGATTAATGTAAAAATTTAATTTAATATATTATTTATTTTACAGATGCCTGTACCTCGAAATAGCATGCAACTTGATTATTCTAGATGGCAACAAAATTTGATTGGTGTTTTACAAGTGGATATTGTATATCATAGTCAAATAGAAATTGGTGATTTATCTCTTTTTATTGGTTCTTTTTTCAATATAAATATAAATATAAATATAAATATATATATATATATATATATATATATATATATATATATAAT